TTGGTGCAATCGGGCGATAGCTCTCGACGATAAAGCAGGGGGGGAAAATTGACAGAAGGGTATATCTACAGCGGTGGATGAGAAAAAAATGAACGTGGAGGAATCGGGGCGTACCAAAGTACATAATTTATATTTTCCGGCAAGGCATAATTTCTGAGAATAAATACGAAATCGAAATCGCGCAGAGGTTCTGCATTGGTATCTTCCCTCTCACGTTTCTCGTCGAGAATCTCGAGATCGGTCACGTATGGGTAAATAAAGACATTTGTCGACCCGGCCACGTTCTCGAAGGACACTCTAGGCATTTTACACTTTATCCCGAAGATTTAAGGGCTACTAGGAAGCGAAATAATGTGCGACGCGTTATAACTGCACACACGTCCCACGTGCGGCGGGGCTTGAAACGATATAACAAGAAAGGAAAAAAAAAACGAAAAAAAACCCGGAGAATATTGTAAAACGAAAAAAAAATATTTCGTACGGAACAAAATGCACAAAACGAGCTGTACCTTCTTTTCTCGCAGAAATCGAAAGACCTATCTAACCGAAAGTCTTCATGAAACGCGCAGAAAGCACACACGAGAGAGAAATATATATTATTATATAAATATATATGAGATATAAAAAATTGCTAGTATACCTTGCAGTTATGCGAATGTTGCATTGTCTAACTGTTTGTTCCATACAGATCCAGATGTATTATTGTATCCGATGGAGTATTATATATCAAAATATATATAATATATATCTATATATATTACGATCCTCCCGTGGGGCTTACAGTTTTTCCGCTTTTCCCAATTTTTCCAGTAAATAGAATAATTTTTAATCATAATTTAAATTTAAATTTTATATATTTTAATTTTTTTTAATTTTTTTTGTTTTTATTTTATTTTTTAATTTATATCCTTTAATAATTATAGATATAATCTAACTCGAACAACCAACAAATTATTTGCTGCATTAGTGCAACAGAAAAATTTATTCTTGTAAAAATAAGAAAATTTTATGCCTTTGTCTGTATTTCTTTATTATTGTTAGAACTAAATTGAAATGAGTTAAGTCTGTGCACATTAATGTCTATTTCAAATTTCAATGTAAATTAATTTTAATTTTGATTTAACTTATTTTTTATCTTTTTTCTAAAAATTAAATTTAACTGAAAGTTAAATTAAATTGATGTAAATTATTCTAAATAAGTAAAAATGGATGATGGTGTGGACTTTAAATTCTGATTAACGTAATAGGTAATTAACTGCCACAATTATTTATAACAAAATTTTTAAATATATCTAGAATCTGTCATCCTATACTAGTTTTATTATTATAGTTTTTCAAGAATAAATCTAGAAGAAATTATTCAGACACAAATTTTGTCACACTCTATTTCAAAAAATTATAAATAATATTCTGCTCTAAAAATGAATATCCTCTTAACAAAAGACAAGTATTGTGAAAGGTATTATATACTTGACAAATTAATAATTGATTAAATTAATTAAAAATTGATCAATCAGTTTATCATCAGAAGGTAAACTAGGGAAGATAAAAAATTATTTCTCTTATTTAAATGCATTTCGTGATCTTAGCGTCATCTACAAGCATAAAATGTAGAACTATACCTAGCCATTTTATCAAGTTTTCTTTACAGATAACATCTACGTATCTTGAACGAGAGAAAGAAAATATATATATATATTTTGAATCATTGTCCACGATAACGATGATATATTTGTCTCATTCTGAATGCAGAGAATGTGATAAGGCCAAGTAAGAAGATCAGCTGTAAACATTTCCAATTTTGTGTTCTTTTTTCTTTTGCTACGTCGTTGGTATGAGGGACAACACGCGCGCCTACCAACTGTCAACCTCTACCCGATACCCGATTAAGCGGATTGAGAGGTTATATCAACGAACAGGTATAAAATTATTCTACATAAGTAAGTGTATTGACAATTTCAGTAAGAGTTCCGCTCGATTTGGTCTGTAGATCTTCGTAAGATGTAACAGAACATTTTCCGGAAACTCGAAATTTCATCTGTATACAGCTTAGGCTGTATCTTCGGAGTAAATACCTTCGAAGTTAACCTATCACTTAATTGGGCGGGAATAATTCCACTGTGCAATTAAACATGCGACATTAAAATATAAAACATTTTTTCTATAAGAACTGCATGTATGAAAATTGAACGATATTTCCATTTACTTTCCGATCACTTTGATGTAAACTTGTTTTTGTATAGGTTATAAATAATTGTTGAGTTTAGAAGCCTCACCTCTGATTTTGATAAAATTATTCTCATTTGATTACGTTTTTGCATGAAAGGAACGAATTTGGCAAAAAAGATATTACTGTGTCCTGCGAACCAAAATATTGATTAATAAAGTTGACAGATATTCAGGTTAGGAAATCTGTTATATCGATGGCATGAAAAGGTGTTACACAAATTTTCTGCTTTACAAACAAATTATTTTCCATAAATTCCAGAAAAATTAGACTAATTTTATTAAAATCGAAGATGAGGCCCCTAAACTCAACAAGTACCTTTCTTATATAGTGTAAAATTTAAAAAAATTTTCTAAAATTAATAACAAAAAACTTTTATGAATCTTATAAACTCATATTCCTTTAACAAAAAATATGTATTCTTGTTATGAGTTAAATATGTCTCACCTAACAACACATTTTTTATTTGCAGCACAAATGCCAAGTGTTAAGGATGAGTCGGAAGGTGAAGGAGAAGAGATGTCTCACGATAGTAACGAAAGTAACCAGAGTTCTGGGTCATGTGACAGCAGCCCTGAACACACTGATAGCGATGACTCGTCGGAGATGGATGAAGACGAATGCGAGAGGAGACGCAATGAATGTATGGAAAATTTACTAGACTTGGAAAGACAATTTACTCTACTCAAGGAACAGTAAGTATACACATATTATATATATAGCTTCTTTATATATTATACTTTAATGAACATTAAAAAAAATACACTATAACTATTTGTTTTAACAATTGTCATTTCTTTCAGATTGTACAGAGAAAGAATTACACAAGTGGACACAAAGCTCGGTGAAGTTCGTGTTGGAAAATCTGAGGAATACCTAATACCACTGGAACGACTGAAGGAAAACATGAAAACGAAAACGGAAGTGGCTGGAATATTAAAACAATACAGATTACAAAATATCCAGAATAAATTCCTAGCAGAAGAACTGGCCGCTTTTCAAAATTTTGAAAGCGAAAAAGGCTTAGTCTGGGATTGCATACATAACGATCTACAAGACAAGATCCGTCGTCTAGAGGAAGATAGGAATAATGTAGACATACATGCAGATTTGTGGCTTAATACGACCGGTAGAAGACGTAGGAATCATTCGGAGAGAAAACGAGCAGTTTCCGTTGCAGGTCCTTACATCGTTTACATGCTCAACGACGCAGATATATTGGAAGATTGGGCATTAATAAAAAAAAGTCTAGGTAGCCGAAAAGCGGAAATAATGTAAATTATGTTTTGAATGTGTTGAAGAATTGTTGAAAATAGTTTCCTTACATTACGCGTCCATCTTTGATATGAACAAGAATTTCGTCCAACCGGAAATGTTCTAAAATTAAACAAACAACTGACATCCACTGATTATCTGATATCTGTACTGTGTGCCTTGATAAAAAGTAAGAGTAATTATTTACTAATCTAAATAATTACCGAATTAAAATATCATATTCGCCGAGTACTTCTATGGTACACTAGTGCAGGAAAATTGTTTACATTTGTGTCACCGGAAAAAACGAATTCATAAGTTTGAAAAAACTAAATATTATCTATATTAGTTCCAATTAATATGAAAATTTACATCATGAATCAAACAACAATTATATCAATCTAAATTGTCTAAAAATAATTAATTTTATGTTCGGTATATGAGCATTATCTTCTTTTTTATTTTCCTTTATTTAAAAAATCTATTTCTGCAATTTTATTATTACATTTGTTTTGTATTTTCTTTATCTCTCTAATATATCTTGAAAAAATAAGACAAGCATGAACTCTCTATTCCTTTTACTCTCTATTATATCTAAATAGATATCTATGCTTCTCTTGTCATCTTTTTAATGAACTAAAATATTTAATATTTGCAAATTGTTGCAATCGGAAAATAATTCTATAATTTTTCCGTTTACGATCTAGTCGGAAAAAAGTTCGTACATACTTTAATATTCCATGCTCGCAACAAATAACTGTGACATGTAATGCCAAAAATTGTCATGAACAAAATTTTCTTCTAATATTATGTTAATGTATTAGAATTTTGCTTAAAGACATTTAAGCATGCTTTGTTTACTCAAAGGCGAATATAAAGAATAATTGTATAAATATATTTTATTATTATACTGTTTAAATATATCTCATTATTTCAGTTCGAAATAAACTTATAGAAATATAATAAAATTTTTGTGTAACGTTGTAATTAATAGTATAACACAATGACTGAGAAAAAGATTCATAAGCGAAAGAATTATTGTATTATAAATAAAGTGCATTTTAATTTTTGTACAGTATACCCAGCAAATTAAATGTTAATATCGTTCCAACAATTCTAACAGTTTTACACGATTACAGTACGCAATTAATTTAGTCCTAAACTTGCATCCTATCGATAGAACATAATAGCGAACTCTTATAAGTAGATGGATCTATAATAGCGAAATCAAGCAGCTCTACGGGGTTCTATTGATTGATCATAAATGGTACAGCCATTCGTTCTAATTTTTGTTAATATATCATTTCGAAATTGGAGTAATAAAACATAATACATCTTATTTTAGTGCAACATTCGGCAAAGTTTCATCCAGCTCAATAATATGTATCAAAAATTCAACGTGACTTTTGAACCTGCATCCCAACGTGATTAATTTACATCGTTCGAGTAATTAGGAAGAAAGAAGAGATTAAGAGGGAGAGAGGAGGGTAATTTTAAATGTAATTTTTATTTAGGCTATGTACAACACATACGTACAATACGTGACCCTTGCTTAAAACTATGTTACGCTCGTCCGGTATGCATTTCCACTTAATTTTTAATCTTGCCCTCTCGACACAACGTGACGCGTGTAATTTTGTGTGTTGACCGCGTACGTGTCCACGCACGTCTCGTGTGTATTTGTGCGTGTACTTTGTATGTGTGTGTGTGTGTGTGTATCCGTGTATATGTTGAGTGTACTGTGTACGATATGTTACAAACTTTTTAGGAACATTTCTCGTGGAATGCCGCGAGCGGTAATAATAAGGTCGCAGCGAAACTACACGAAAACAATGCGCAGTCATCTGCAGCTTCATCCTCGACTTCGATATATTGATTAGACAGTTATCGAAAAATGACACCAATATAGACGATTGTTGACTGGACAGACTCCGAATATTTATGACTGAAAGGCGCCAGGGAGAAGTCGCGAGTCGCGCGTTAATTAACCGTTTGCGCCCCGCGTATGTCCATTGCAAAATCCCTGATGTCTTCATGGAATTCTTCAATATTGAGGTGAGTAGATATTTATATGTATTTATTACAAAAAAGATTTATAGTACATTACTCAAAATCGAATGAAAAACGTTAACAGAACGATAGCTTCGCCCAATAGCTTCCTTTCTTCGTAAGAAGCTATATAAAGCGCACGCAATCCCTATTTATACGTACCTGTAAATGTGATAATATTATAACGGAATTAATGTAAGATTTTGTCGAGCCGGAAGCTCGAAGTGCAAACGGTTAAAGCGACGAAAGCTCCGATTCTGCTTTTACACGGGAAAGCATCCGGACGACGAACGATCGCAATAATTAACCGGCTTGCGGCAACAGAGTGAATAATGTACGTTCGGCAACCGTCTCATCGACGATCCGATTTTCATTGCGTGAATATTCGCAAATTACCTCATTGATAATACATAGTCGTCTGGCCATATCGGGCAATCGTTCGGCCTGGAATCATTCGTCTGTTGATGCAGTCGGTTTGACTATTACGAGGACAACATTATTGTTACACGATACGATCTGTTACTGATAATTACATATTTAATCCTGAATATGGATGAGACAGAGTTTGATCCCCATCTTTCTCGTTAAAACTCTATTGGCTCCGTGGCATTCGTAATTGTGTAGGCCTGTGTGCGTTTTGTCAATTGTCCAGGCACCGATCTCTCGATGAGACTTTTCGCACGACTTGCACAGTACAATAAAATTTACGTCGTCCAAGATTCATAGTGCTGACGCACTCCCTGACGATCGACACTCGCGAGAACGGTGATGAGCAAAATCTCGTTTCTTCGCTTCTAACGGATTCATCCTTGCAATCACGTTTTGTAGGTCTGACATTACGACGTCGGATACTTTCTTGATATGAAATCGGTACATAAGCCGTCACACACAAATTTACACGAACTGTTTAGCAACTTTAGCATAAAGTCTGTCGGACAATTCTAAGTGTCTTCCTACTAAACACAAAGTAACGTTATATCAATGACTACGTTTATATGGCACCTTTAATTGAGTTTAATAACATTTATATATAATTGTGGTCAATCACAATCCATTCCATTCTTCACAGGAATAGCTATGATTGTTTCATAATTACGGTTATTATCAAACCCGATTAAGAGTGTCATGTAAACGATTAATATTATAATTTCATCAATATTATAATTTCCTACTAAACAATATAAATGTATAACACATGTACGTAACAAATACATTGTTAAATAGAAAATTTCAACACTGATGTAATTTCACTTTTATATTGTGTTTAGCGGATTACTAATCGACACACTTATGCGTATAGCACTTCCGTAAAACTGACAGGAATTTAAAAATATAAATGATGCTACACGGAAAGAACATTTTTGCAAAAATATTTAAAAATTTAGATAGATACAGATCCACAAATAGTTTTGTTAAATTATCCAAATAATCGGTGAAGCTTTACGACGATGCTGCTAAAGATTTTAACATTCTAGCAACCAGTTTAAGCGTTCTGCATAATTATTTTCATTGTCAAAACAAATTTTCAGATTTGTATCTAGCTAAATTTTTAGATACTTCGGCAAAATCATTCCGTGTGTTAGTCATGTATCTTCAATAATTTTTATTCTCTAACTTTAGTTCGTGAAACACAAAATCGTCATTGGTGTTTTCTGTACGGAAAGGTTGGTTTTGTTGAAGTATCTAAAAATTTAGATAGCTACCGATGTGAAAATAATTTTGTTAAACCATCAAACTAAAGTTATAATATTATTATAAATGTAAAACGCTCAAACTTGTTGCTAGAATGTCCAAATATTTTTGCAACATTGTTTATCATGCTTGATATTTCTACATAATTATTTTAATATTTTTAGATACTTCAACAAAATCTTTCCACTTTTTTAAGATAATGCGACGCACCTACATGGATGTGCATGCGACGGCGTCTGATCCGCACAAAGGGATGAGTTTCAGCGATCCGCTCGTCGCGACGAGGAAACCCTGGCGCCCCTCAAATTTCGAACGCAAAACACTGTCAGATACCACCATCCCTCTTCAATAAGCCCCCCAATCCCCCCTCCTTGATTATCGCAAATCGTGGTCAACATAAGCACACAAATCAATGCCTAATATCATTCACTAAGGGTATGCTTACACTTTTAAAAGGACATTGAAAAATCGCATATGCTAGAGTATCTGCCGATTACGCAATCTCTATATATCTATATCTCTTCTCTTTCACCAATTTATGTACAGTACCGTCCTCTGCCCCCCCCCCCTCTCTCGCCAATTAACGAAAGTGTGGCACGTATCGTTGTTAGAAGATTAACGGAACGTCGCGCACGTGAGTGCGTTATGTGCGGTGCGACGCGTCTCTCGAATGGAAGGAACCAGATGCGAGAAAAAGAAATGGCTACACGTAGAAAATGCACGACAATCTCGCGGCAAATGAGCTCTACGTTTCTGTACACGCTATTAATTGCAGGATATCCCTCGCTGTTTACGAATCGGACACACAAGGTGTCTCAGGCATTGCGTATTTTCTTCTGCACACAATCAAAGAAGATGATTATGCTTCCTTTAAGTCACGAGGATCAAAGTAGAAACTATCTGTAGGAATTCAAATTCTCACACAGTCAAATTTAAATGACTCTTTTTGCACCTTGCAGTAAGCACGTGTCGCATTACGCATTAAAGAGTACAAATTAAAGATTAGAATTAGAAATTAGACCAGTCAGATTATTTTAATTTTATTCCGTATTTGTTCTGATTGGCTGAATTGTAATCTTCGTCTCTTCGTAATCTTCAGTCTTCAACGCGTAATGTGACATAGCTTCCGTCAATTCATTCTTGATATAGACTTTTCGATTTACGATTGAGCGTTTCATCAAATAGCAACCATTTTTAAAGAACAGCAAAATTAAGCTGTAATAAAAAATTGGTTTAAATTAATTTAAAGAAAAAAGGTGGAAGATATCATTAAAAAATATTTTGACCGCGCGCATATCTGGATTTCTTCTTAATCTTAACTCCCCATTTCCTTTGATAACATTCTGTTTCAAAATTTATGTAAAACAAAAGTCTATTTCATAAATGTTTTGCGAGAAGATTTGCCAATCGAGAAAAATAATACGCAATGCCAAAGACAAATATATCTATACGTCGATCATAACGAATCATAAAGTCGCAGAAATTACACAAAAAATTATAAGGTTCTATGTGTGCCAATTGATATTTTGCAACACGATGTTTCGTACGCGTGCGATTAACGTTGTTGAACTTTAGAAATTCACGTCCCAAATAAACGTTCGAGATAAACGCACAGTCCTGTTATTTCGTTATCGCACATAATCTTCAACGTCGTGCTCGAACTTACATTCGGCCCGTCCAAACGACGATGAAACGCGAGAATGTGATCGGATTAAGAGCTTTTCGCGCGTGTATATGCCTCGTGACGCGTGTGTATGTGTCATTGCAAATCGAGCTTGCTTGCTGCAAGCGAGATGCGAGAATGCGTCACGAAATCAGGATGTCAACGCGGCCGTGTAAGTCGATTAGCGATAATGCAAATCGACCACGGTGTTCTGTCTCCTTTCCTCTCATTTCTTTTTTTTTTTCTTTCTGCGAAACGGCAAAACGTCGATCGGGCTTCGTCGGGTTCGTCATTTTGCTCTCGGTTTGTTTTTTTTTTCCATCGATCGGCTCGATCATAGGTATGACATCGTATTCCTGACGAGATCCTCGAGTTGCCCTCTCGCCTCCGTTTACAATTATGTCTGATACTGTAACATTGGTGCGGCCAGATTCGGGTGGTGGGCTGTGTTCATTCTCAGAGCTGAGATGCTCTTGTTGTACCACTCGTCCTCCGCTGACATTCCTGAAACAGGAAAAAAAACGGAACTTTTTAACGAACTACTTGCGCGTACATTTCAAGCCTGGATTACGTTCGCTCAGATTAAGCGGCTTGACAGTTTCCCTCTCTTCAGTCAATCTTTGAGTTACTGCATGGAAAAAAAACAGTTTTGTTGAAGTATTTAAAAATTTAATACATGAAGTATTCTAAAAATTTAAATACAGATCTGAAAATAATGTTACTGGTCGTTAAAATAATTGCATAAAACATTGATAACAATGCTAGAAAAAATTGTAATCTAGCAATCAGTTTAAGCGTCCTATAATACATAATTATTTTGATGGACCAAACAAATTTATTTTCAGATCTGTACGTAGCTAAATTCCTAGATACCTCAACAAAACCGTTCTTTCCAGATTTTTTCAATAATACTATGATATGAGATGATATAAATGCTAACTTTAATTGGAAGAATACCTACGTGACGCTATAATTAACTGATTTGAGAAGTCAGACGTCACTCGACGCAGAGAAGCCGGATTCTTTGCTATCCCAAAAGAATCTCGGAGTGATTCGATTTAACTGACTTTCCGCGGTGCTTTATCGAGTCTCCGCTAATCGGTCGATTTGCTATCGCATTAAGACGTTAAAGAGAGAGGCGTTAAATCGTTAAGGAGAGGCAACGGGATTGCGAGCGCGGAGAGGTCGCACACTCGTACAGCAATCGCTTGCTTGCACCGTGCAACCCCCGACGGGCGAGGCAATTCGCGAATAGTCTTGATTCGATTTAAAAGCGATATTCCATCTCGCGCCGGAAATGGTGTAAGACGGCGCTGGGGCGGAAATGGAGAGAACGTCTTGGAGGCTGGTAGAGACCAGAGCGCGCGGTGCTCTCTCGCTCTCGTGCACGGGCGTCGGATTCGCGCCATTTCCGCTCCGGATTTTTGCGGAGTCATTCGATAACGCTGGGTCAGCGCCCGAAGACGGCGCGGAAAGTCGTCGTGAGATGCTGGACAAGAGAATGAGGCCAAAGAAATTAGTTTACGTCCATTCCACGTTCGCGTGATCTCGTGAGGGAGGAAATGACGTGCGCGGTGGTCGAAAAACAACGATCGAATATAAAATACTTAAATATGTATGTACAATCAACACAATTGTAGGACTAATCATTGTTACGCGAGGGAAATCAAATTTTATTTATAATATCCTTCATTATACCTAAACATTAAATTTAGGAAATTGCACTCATAAAAAAGGATCTAAGCACTATAAATACCATAATTTATTAAATATAATTATTTAACAATTATAATATCAATCATAAATTATAATACAATTGTAAATAATTGTTAAATATACTCAATACATTAATTTATTAAAATGTTGGTTTCTCCTAAATTTTAATGGTTATGATAAGGTTCTCTTTCGTTTTACTCTTCTAGTTTTTTTAGCTATTACTTGTCACGAGCTTGATGTAATAATCTTTCAAATTAGATTTTTAATTAAAGCAATTCTAGTAGTTTAATTTAAGATAAATGGTTAAAGATAAGTAGACCGTTAAAATATCACAGCTATTAACTTTTAGAAATCGGGGATTATTTTTTTAATCTTATACAGCTCTTCCTTCAGTAGGATTTATCATAATTCATTTATACTAATTGTATTTGCTCGCCTATATATAAAATATGGCATTGTTTCAGCCACTGTAGTGACTTCTCGTCCTCTCTCTTTGTGAAGATTACAAATACTCAAATTTTAGAGATCGCATTCAAAACGCAATGTGAGAATCACAATCGACCCCTCGCGAAAAAAGTGAAATCGGTTATCCACGAACGTGAGGATATCAAGGATATTTGTAGGATTAAGGGCATTTGCATAATCCTTGACCTAAATGAGAGCGCAACCGCGCTCACGAGCCATTCATCGCCGTACTCATTTTACGCACACCCAAAGCGCTGGCGTTGCATTATTTATGACTTACCCATTGCATCTTGTCGCATGCCGGTGACGGCCGACATATTCGACGCTGAATGCGACATGGAGAACGGCTGAGTCATGCTCGGGTAAGACGTCGTGCCCATCTGAAACATTCGTTCATTTTACGATTAACGACATTGATACTCCAATCCGCGATTCTGGAAATGGACCGCGATTTCCCACGTCCTGCGATCCCTTTTAATCGGTCAGTATATTATAGGAGAAGGAGGAAAAGAAGGCGCGGTGTTAATGTCACGTGTAATTAATTTCCGCAAGCGTAAAATGAGCGAACGAGCGAAAATGGATTCCGTGATATATCAATGAGATTACGGAGTTACTCGCGCGGTTTGAGCGGCCGAGCTGGAACAACGAGAGGAAAGTAATGCGGTAATTAACGTGTATGAAACATAATTATCGGCTAGAAACCACTCTTACGTTTCTACTCGTCGACGGTGGCAAACGCGAAATCGAATGCGACGGGTGGTTTCATTATAAAAATTAACCGTGTAATACGTTCGGAACTGATGGAAATTAATAATGCGTTGCTGTATCTATTTCCTGGTCGTAATCAATTTTCCAACGTGTTACGTGATTCTACGGTGATATCAGGATTATTAAGTACAATTCCCGACGAAGATAGGAATGAAGGGATCGTCTAAATAAAAAAAAATTTGCGCAACGGTAAAATTTACTTTACATGAAAAGAACGAGTTTGCTGAGAAGTATCTGAAAATTTAGATAAATAAATTAGATTTGAAAATAATTTTATTGGATCATCGAAATAATTATGTAGGAAAATCAAGTATAATGAGAGCAATGTTGCAAAAAATGTTAGTAATCAGTTTTAACATTCTATATATATATATATATATATATATTTTAGGAAGTCCAATATAATTTATATTTTTAGATCTGTATATAACTATGTATATAATTGTAAGTTTTTAGATAAACAAATCCAGAAATTAAAAGAAGACTATTCGAACCAAGCTAGGTATCATGTTCTGTTAAAAATTAGATTCAATTTATAATTTTAAAAATTTCGACCATTTAATATAGTTATCTTCTATCATCAGCGATATGAATATATTATACAATAAAAACTGTTACAAATTGGAACTCTGCAATACATAAAACATCGTTATATGGTTCTTCAAAATTTACATGTTGTAGACAACGAACAATGAATTGTAATTGTAGTCCTACCATCTTATACATTGTTAAGATGTTTTATAGGTCTGATAGAAGAACAATTCTTTCCTCCAGAATTATGGTTCGTCAAGTATTGTACTGTTATGTGTACAATACATATCATCTAAAGTGTAATAAATGAAAAAGAAAAATCTATTAACGTCCGTCAAATTATAAAACATTAAATTAAAATTTTTTAAATCATTCTTAATACATTTTAAGAAAATAATTATTATATAAAAATGTTTTGTTAAATAATTTCCAAATTCTCAAGAATGGAATAATTAAGATAACATTTATTATCATGTACATATAATAATGTAATAGTTGACGAACTATAACCCTTGAAGAAGGAATTTGTTCCATGAGACCTACAAGATCTTGACAACGGATAAAGTGTAGGACTACAACTATGTTATAATTTAATATGCACTACTGAATGTAAATTTTGAAGAAGAATTGCATAGCGATTCTTCGTTATGTATTGGAGTTCTAATTTGTAATAATTTTTATTTTATATTTATATCACTAAGAACTTGTTCGATCTTCGAATAAACTATGTGGTAATTTATCTAATAGGCTAAACAAAATAGTAAAAGAATAAGTCTGGATTGTTCCACCTTTTGGTAAACTTTAGCTCACTATTTTACTCTTTTACTCTTTTATTTATGCAACATATTAGGTAAATTACACAATAGTTTATCTGAAGATGAAACAATCAGTTCTAAGAGTATACCATAAAAGAGTGAGAGAGTTAAAAAGTGAGCTAAAGTTTATCGAAAAATGGACAAAACTCAACCTAAATATGACCTAAATGGGGTTGACACAAATGATTTTTTAATTATGAATTGAGTGATTTTTAATAGCATATAACACCCACTTGATTCGAATAGAGAAGAGAAGTCCTCTTATTATTTCTTTAATTTTTGATGAATTTCTGTTTATTGCAGTCTGATTTATCATTTTTAATTGATAAATAAAACCATTATTTCCATGTATCCCCGATACTTTCTATAGTTGTTTTTAAATAATTATTAAATAGTTGTAAAATTATTAATTAAGTATAGAATAATCATTAGGTTAGTTTTTCTTGCTTCGGATTTAATTTCATTGGGGCGCATTATTATTAGATATTTAAAACCTTCAACAGGAAAAATGGACAGGAGTACATTCAGACATATTGTGTGGTGGAAAAATTTGGTAAATTACCGTCTTAGACATTCAACAAGATATTAATGGATCAAGCTTGAGTGTTAAAGGATAACTATAATATAAGTCTCTTTCTTTTTTTTTTCGGAGGGAAACCGAAACACGCTTGTGAATTATCGGCTCAATTAAAGCGGTAGGCATTCGGTAATCCGGCCGACCCAACTAATCAGCCGAAATGCAATTTAGCTATATCGACCGATAGCGATGCGCCGGACGTACGCTCAGGTGCACTCCAATTTAATACCTCGGTTAAAATCATTAACGAGAAACGCATCGAATTCATCCCCGATATATGGAACCTTCGAAACGATGACCGAATCTACGATTGTCCCGAAATCTTTTAATTTCCTAATATTCTATAGCTGCGCTTCTATCAAACGTGGCGCATTGATAGCGAGCAACTTCTCGAGCAAATCTATCAGTTTGTATATCGTAATTTCTCTATTACTCTATTTTTCTAAAAAAAAAAATATAATATATAGTAATATACAAAAAATTTTATGTTTCCTATTAACCATGAAATTGAAACAAAATATTTGAAACGATCTTTTTGTGCCCGAATTAAAAAAAATGTTTTTCTTCTACGTATACGTTTGCACACGTACACAAAAATTTATGTAGTGAGACAAGTAGCTGTATATCACCTCGAGGATGACATAATTGTAATTCTTGTTTATATTATTTACTTGCCATTATCGGAGACGTGTCTTCGCGCTGAGTGCATTGGTGAGCGTGCAAAGCGGCGGGTATCGATAATAATGAAATTTCGGAAGCGTCCTGCGCGTCGTAAGGGAGCCTCACCTGGGGATAACGATTTATGCCATTTATGCTGTTGTGAGGATGGGGGTAGGGTTGATAACCTCTGCTAGCACCAGGATAGATATTCCTCATCATGGCACCTTGGCAGGCGGGAATTGGTGTCAGAGCTTTCTGCAGCTGCTTCTCCTGCTTCCGGTATTTCGCTCTTCTATTCTGGAACCAAACCTACGAAGAGAGACGAAATGGCGTAAACAAACGATCGCGGTGCAATATGTATTAGTGATGTTTAAGCGATGCGCGATATAATTTGCGATGTAGATAATTATTTCGATCTCTACGCGACATACAACATTGTTTGCGAAGCACTAATAGCGCAAACGAAGTTTGTATCATTCTTGTTTCGATTATTCAATGTAACTTTGACTGAACGCGTTAATTGTTATCCTAATTAAGTATATTAGTATTTGGTGGGACAATGCAATTTCATATTACACAAACAGTCTACGAGAGAGAATAGTTGTTATTCTTTCGCAATACATCTTATCGATCGCTTACAATTAGTTAGAGCTTACAGAATAGTTTTGAAATAACGTTTTATATATTAATCCTTTTGCACATTTTCGACTATTTTTCTGCCTATGTAAATGATTCATAATTTGAACAGAAGCATATCGAGATTCTTTGATCTTGCGTTCACAGATTCTCGCATCTCATTAATTCTAGAACATCTCAAATATTATTCTGTCCTAATTTCTTTTTAAAAATATTATTTCGTCAAACATATTAATGTGTAAAATTTTTTATATACAGAGACATTTGTAAAAATAATTGTTTTCATTCATAACAAAATGGCGACCAAGAAGCTAACAAAATGGTGTGTAGTACTGATGCACGAAGTGTTTGAAAGCATCGAGTTAACGGTCCTTGTCGATCAAAGAAGGGACACAAACCTCTTGGGCCGAAAAGCACCCTCTTCTTTTTTTTTCTTTTACCCGAACGGGATCCTAAGTTTACTCCCCTGGCCTCACCCGGCAACCCGGGGCGGTTTACCTATCGCCATTTTGCATCGGGCAATTTCCATTGTTTCGCGGGATTAGTAAACCCATATTGGGGCTTGCCTGAGCCGCCACCGGCGACTCACCCCGGCATCATCCACACCGGCGCGCGTTTCCTCACCCCCTCGGTCTTCCCCTCATCCGTTCTCTTCTCTCTTTCCCTCCTCCCTCTCTCTCTCCTCTAACCCCCGACAATCTCCACTCTTGCGCCCCGCCCTGCCCGACCCCTCTTTCCAGCGGCCCCCCCAGAAAGAGAAAAGCCTGCGGCTTCTCGTCCCGGGTCGGGGTTGGGTTGTTTCCACCCTCACCGGTGACGTCACCGGCGCCACCCGATTGGCCGATGCCGCGGCGGTGACGTCACATCGGGCTCGCTCATTGGCCGACACGTTTTATCGACATTTCTACTGTACACCCTCTCTCATCGCCGCAGAAGTGGGTGACACGAACCGGGGTGGCTCGAATGGGTTCGTTCTCTCTCAAACTCTCCCTATTTCTCTCTCTCTCTCTCCCTCCCTCCCTTCCTCCCCCTCCCCTCTCTCTCTCTCTCTCTCTCTCTCTCTCTCTCTCTCTCTCCCTCTCTCCTGCGCTGTCTGTATCTTTCTACTTCGCTCTCTTCCCAACTCTATCACTCTTTGTGTGGAAGCATGGCGCTTCCGAAGAGTACCTCGTGAAATATCCGCAGCGATGTTCTCGTATTAAAAACCGAGTACGAAGAAGAAAAAAATTTATATATCAGAGAAAAGAAATGGATTTTCATTATAAGGTCGCAAACGATCATCTTGCTTCGTTTATTATTTATCGAAGTTAACTATTTCACTTATTTTTTAATCTTTTTAATTTATTATTTTTAATCTGTTCGCTGCTCACTTAATAACGCATTGTAAACTTTATACCACGAAAGTTACTATCTCTCTTATTATTATCCCTTTTATTATTTTAGAGGAAAATATTTCTAATCTCGACAAAACTCTCTTTGTAAAAATACGTGTTTAATTACTTCAAATACTCTTACAAACGCTTTATATCAATTGATAAAAACTTAACTTTTTGCGATAAATATAAAAAAGAATTTTATAATCATTTTACACAATTATCTTAATTATAAAGTAATCCTTATGCTAATTTATTATTCAGACAGTGCCAGACAAAGGTCATCACTTACGTCAAGATCTATCTCGCGTAAACCCACGCCAAAAAGATCAACGCCTACACAAGAAATTAATAGTTCATCAGCAGTGGGATTATTTCCGTCAATAATTGCATATATTACCATACCTCTTGACGTCTTTTGTACAAATGTCAATTTGCAAATTTCGAATGTAAAAGAAGTATTTTATTTAGCAGGAAAGTAATTTATTTTATGCAGTTACACGCAAGATACATTTTAAGATGTACCGTATAGAAAAACTAATCTTAATTTACGCCATTATAAATTTGTTAGACTGTTAGGTAGATAACAAATAGGTGTGTATAGGTACGGTATTGAGAGCCGAACAAGTTAGACAAGTAATTTCGCGCAGTTACAATTAGATTTTATTTAGATTGTCTTCTTGCTTCCGAGTTGAGTGGAATCGCAAATCGCGGAATCAACGCGAGTTGGTTTCGATATTAAATATTACGACAAAATAGAATGTTTGTTTTGAAGAATAGAATATACATAATTAACTATTTAATTGTAATATTTAATCGATATGGAGCATCGCATTTTCAAGCTTACTTTTCGGTACGAAATTAAAAATCCTAAATGTGATAATGATAATTAATTTTACGTCATATACAAATACATTTAATTATCACGAGACATAAGAAGAAAAATGGAATAATATGAATTCATATTTTAATCACGAAAGATCGACTTATCTTACGTAGAAAATTGCGACGAGTAAAGTTTTGCAATTACAGAAATATCTAGACATGCTGAGCAGAGTAATAGAGTCTTATTTAGATTAAGTTCTTGTTACGAAATTGGCTGGAATCCGGGATTACTTAGCTGAGAAAGACAGAACTCAGTTCGGATATGAAATATTATAGAGAATCGGGGCGATTATCGAAACGCGATGATAATCGGAATATTAATTCTGAAGTTGAATTCCGCGTGGAAAGGGATCGCTAAGAAGCTCAGTGGCCGTGGATTACAGCGGAATTATAGGCATTACCTAGTTTGATATTTCTTTTTAACAGTGTTACATAAATTTGCAAGTAAAGCGAAAGAAATATTCACGGCAACCTCGGCCAGGGGAAGAAGGGGGAGGGGCGTACGTGCGATTTCGAAGGTGTTAGCACATTTGAAGACTCTTAACAAAGGGCTTGATTAACATTTTCATATGACGAGCGTGCATCGTTCTAACTCACATGTATGGAAATCGCGGTACGTGCGAGGCAAGTCGCATAATCAATCTCAATTCGCATTGGAATTCACGCCGCGGGACGATTTGCAATTGCATAAAACACGCTCGGCTTTCGAATAATCTGGCATTACCTCTATCCGTGTATACCAACCGAGGCTAGCTCTATTATAAATACGTGCATAACTAGAAAATAGTATCAATATCAGATAACATACGCTTTTTTAAGTGCGTAAAGTACCCGTAACGGATTCCACAGAGATAAAGATAACAAATTACAGAAACATATACTCACTCACATTACAGTAACATTACAGTAGCCCATACTTTTTGTGGCAGAGTATAGAGAATATAATAATTTTTTGTATTTTTTATACAATTAAAATGAGTCTATTTTGAACTATTAGATTTTATTGAACTTAGATTTTCGTATTTATTCAATGTATGCGAACAGTTCGATTGATTTGGCATTTGGACTTATAGTATTTTCACGAGAACGGTTTTCAGAAAACTCGCGGTAAGAACTCCATTTCCGTACGTAATTCGCCCCGGGAAATTTTTCGTATACGTGCTTGTATTTTCGCCGTGAGTATGCAAATGACATTGTCTACGCTTCGTTTAACCCGATACCGCGTGTTTCCCTAAAATCTAAAACGAAGCGCATCTTCACTATAATCGAGACTACGGTTGTGAATAGTCATATAAATATACGTATGTACGTACAGAGCGTTCGAGAATTAACAGAAACTGGACAGACAGTTTGAAATTTGCAGTTGTCACAAATGCAAAAATGACGAAACACTGATAATCCTTTGACTGACAATTTAATCCTTTGGCTGTGTGCAGCGAAACGGCTGTAAGCTCTCGAAAATAAAGTACTCCTCGCTTAATCCGAGAGTATTCATTTGTTTTTTCCTTTTTTTTACGGAAAGAGTATCTGAAGTATTTTTACACCTCAATTAAAATCACTATTATCAATAACATATTATATATTATTGGTTGAGTATTTAAAAATATTATAAATATGAATATTTAATCACAATTTTTAGAGAAAAAAAAAAAGCAGAAACCAAACCAATGTTAAATGAAATAAACACATTGAATAATTTATTATAACGTTTCTAAAAAAGTAAAATTTTAATTTATAACGATTTTTTATTGTAGATTTAAAGGTTCGTAAAGAATAGCACTAAAAAGAAAATAATTAAACAATATCCATACAAAGCAACATTTTACAATTCGCACTTTTGCCGCTGAGGTATAAAATTCCAAATGACTATTTCCGAATTAAATTAAATCTTAGAGATATACTTATAAAATAGACAAAACATAATAGCACACGATATTTATTTCTTAAAATGGACTTTATCTCAACAATTTGTTTCGGGCTTTGTATTTCTATTCAATATTCCTCGTCTTCGTTAAATCGATACCAATTTCAAATTTTCGATGGCGCTTCCGCCAAACGCTGGTACACCCTGTACATGCTGTACGCATTTACGGGGCGGGTAGAACAGGTTGCCCGAAGAGATCCGGTAAAAGGGCGATTCCTTTTATTTGCTTCTTCCCTAGAAGAGCTTTTCGAGAACATACTTGCGCGCGCGAGTGAGCGCGCCCGCGTCCCTTAAGGCGCGCACTCTGCAAGAACTGGAAAGCTAAGAGTTCGTAATTCAATAACCGCTCTCTCTTCTCCTCCCGCCACGTTCGCTCATAGAGAAAGATAGACCGAATAGGGAGAAAGAGGACGAGGAAGAGCGAGATGGTTGTCCCACGGGGGTGCGCGGCTCAAAATGTCTGCTACTTTGAGGACCGCGACCGAGAAAACTATCCTCCCGTATGCCGGAGAGAATACTGCACTCTGATAGCTAACCCACATACTAACCCGGGAAAATGGATACATTCCCGGTAATGGCTTTTTCGTCGAAAAAGATGAGAAGAGCGTAATACTTGTGTAATATAAGTATGTACTGCTTGCGCATTCATTTCGGAAACTATGAGAATAGTTACCATGTTCAACAATCGAATATGTATAGTTATGCAATCCGGTACCGACAATGAGATTCGACCACTTGGGACTGTGGCTTCTTTAGGGAAACATTACAAATAGTATTCAAGCATCATACCAATAGAATCGCAAACTATCCTTATCAAATTAGCATACTGAGTCATTAAAATACGGTAAATTGTACAATACAGAAACAAAAGTTCTGAAAATTACTATTAATTTCCTATTACGTAATCTCAAGCATAATTATCTATATATAAAAGAATGGATTATTAATTCTTAAATGCCTTTCTACAAGAACACATTGAGTATGGCTTAATTTAACATGATTGCTTATAACTTTCATAAAAATGAAAAAATAAGTATATTGTAAACATTTTTTCAACCAGACCGTCAGATATTAATGAACATAATAATATTTAGCAAATGTATATATCTTTATTAATAAAAAGGTTTCAAGCATTTGAAAAAGTACTGCAAAAGCATTGAAAACAGAAAGCTGGGTATACCATGTTGAAAAGATGTTTAAAAGTTAAGAATCCTTTATTTAAAAGAATTACGTTATCTCTTTTACGTTTTCATATATCTTTATATTAATCTTTATAAACTTCATAATTTTCTATTTAAACTCTCTTAGCTTTAAGCTGAGGAATTTGATTCATTTTATTGCCTTACATTGATAGCAATACAATTATCTCTATATATTAATAAGTTCAACGAAAGTTAAATACCTCAGAATAATTAATAACTTATATTTAATCGTAAACTACCATTTTCATATACGGAAAGTAAAGTTGAGAAATATAGTACTTGTTAGCTATTTTTGCTATTCCCAGAAATTTCCTTGTTTCCTGTCAAATAGGAAGCCGATTTCGTAAAACGACCGGTAGGTAGGCTTCGATCGGAAGTCGAATCGAAGTAAAAAGGTCGAATGAAAACTCGGCTAACTCAATATCGCGGAGCTCGGGCTTCTCTTTTCTTTTTCTTCGGCGTAATGGGATTTCTTGTGCGGTGATTCGAGAATTATTCTCTTACCATCGGGTGTTACCCGATTTTTTAGTATTATTATAATAACCAAGTACTTCCGTGATCTCTCAACAATATAACAACAATCTTGATGATGGAGAACACTGTGCCATCTTTTCAACATATAATTAAAAAAATTTGTTTATTACCTTCTCCTTCAATATTTTCATTAAGAATTCTGTTAAAATAAATCTATTTAAAAAAATTAAAAGCAGTTTCTGCTATCTGCTTACACAACAATTTAGAAAAATAATTTAACGCAATCCTAATTATTCCACTTTCATTTGCAATTATCAAGCAATCATGGAAAACATTCGCTTCGGCTGAGTTTTGCTTTACCCTCCTATTAAATTTATTTGCATGCCTGTGTGTGAGTACACGAAGCAGCACATTACATCTTCCTACCAAGTTTCCTGCAAACCTCACTCGAAATGACATAAATGGACGGAAACGATCCCGCGCAAGGTGTACCGTGTTTCGCCTGGAAAACGCTCATTCAACGTGCACTAATACGCGTTTGCGCGTTTAGAGAAATTGCAAATCGCGTAGCAAATTTGCGTCACTATTAGGGACCGATCTGCATAGAAACTTAAACTTCATCAGGAGGTTTTGCAGGATATATTCTTATTTAGAAATATTTCCTAATTGTTTTAAAGTCTCACAATCGTGCGTTTAAGTTATAATATAATTATTTCTAAAATTATATGATCTTAAAAATAATTTATGGTATTATTGCAGTTAATAATTCGACAAGAATCGACTGTTAATATCTTTGAATCGTCAAAATATTCACGTTTTCAAGTCGCTTAGAGTCTGCACATCCTGCGAAAAAAGTTACGAGCAGCAACACGCGTCTGGGGTGCGGGATCAATGTATTTTTTAGCGAGCGCCGCCAATCGGGCGACGTCGCTGGATGTAGGAAAGCCGTCCCTTTAAAAGCTACCGCGCTAGTCACGGCATTCTGTTTCCTCAAAGATAGCGACACGGGCCGTGGAGGCGAGGACGAGAGAGAAATAGACGACGAACGAGGGTGGCAAAGTTGAGATGAGTTGGGCGCGCAGGGGGTTGGGTGACGCTGTACCGGAGGCTGCCATTATATCTGAGCCGCCATTTTAAATTGAATTTTCTCCACCCTAGATAGATCTGAAACGTCTCAGGCTTGCCGGGCTTGCTATTCCTTCCACTACGAGACGAGCGACGACGAGAGCGAGATGGCGCCGGGACGCGGGGGTTGATGGAGGATAGGGGAGGGAGGGATTCTGGAAAGAACATCAGAGGAGCGAGAGAGACAAGAGCCCCCTTTTCTTGCCGCCATCCTGCTTTTTTCTTCCGCAGAGAACCCCCGTCTTGCGATGGATACCTTCCTAAACCCTAAACCGACCCCTCGATTCCTCCAGGGGACGACGAAATTTTCGTTTGCCCTCTGCGTCCGCGTACGAATTGGTAGGAGGGAGTCTCCGAATTTCGCGTGGGAAGTATCAGGTACTTTGTATTGCGGTTCATCGATATTACCTCGTATCGAAATTGATGTGTCCGAATTGGATTACAATCGAACGCCATTTTACAATAACCGATCGCTATTTTGGGAAATTTTTAACTCTGCGATGCGCGCAGGACTAATTAAGGCCGAAGAACTAATTTTGCTCAAGCGTTATACCGAAGCGATCAACCGAATCGCAATCCATTTTAAATGCTTTTTTAAGTATTTAATGCACCGATAGCCATTAACATAATCATTAACAAAACGCGTTTATTATTTATATAATTAAGCGAGGTTTTATATCAGATATTTATACACATATAGCTAGAGCAGAATATCGTGAATTTCAAAAACGAATGCAAGTGGAATGGATGGCGAACGTTAATTTATCGCGGGATAAGACATCAGCGAAGACATTTTCTAATGGTATGAAGCCATCGTGAGGGGGAAAGAGAGAGAGAGAGAGAGAGAGAGAAAACTCACCGTTTGAGGTAAAGCTGTCGTTCGCCGAAAGTAGTCGAAACGCGCGCAAATTCGCGATGACGCGAGCGTTAATTACGGCGTGCGCTTTGCAGGTTACAGATAATTGGCCGATTCTGGGGCAGCCGCGCGCCGGAAAACCAGCGACTGGAAATGACATTTAAAACTGCGAAATCCCTCCTCTCTGTCTCTCTTTCCCTCTTTCTCGCGTTTGAGGTCGAAACGAGCACAGGACCACCCCGACGCGCGGGCTGCGCGGCTCCTCGCGGGCACACCGGCCCTCGGCGGCGGACACTTTGTGCATCGGTTATAACCGGCGAGCGACGAGCGCAAACCGCGTTTTACTTGGCATCGCAGTTTAACAGGGTTAAGTCGCGGCGGTTCCCGGGCTTTTAACTCAAACAACACCCCGCTGCATTATATATCAAAAGAGCGCAACGCACCGGCGACTGTTTTAATATGTACCGCTCGGCTCGGAATCGGGGGCCCGGTATACGCGAACCAGTCCCCGACATCGTTCCACTCGCTCTCTCTCTTTCTCTCTCTCTCTCTCTCTCTCTCTCTCTTTCTCTCTCGTATCCCGTCCATCCTCCCCGACGATCTCTTTCTACCTCATTACCAAATCCTCCATCCTTAATGTCATCACAAACCGCACTACTGTAGAATTTGCGTTTTCCATGTCGAAGAAATTAAAAATTTGAATGCCATAATTTCCCGTGATACGTAACCCTTTCTCTTCTTCGTATAAAAATAAATATTATATGTATAAATATAATTGCAACAAGAAATATATTTTGAATTCCATTGAATTCGAAATATATTTCTTGTTGCAATTAAAGCTAGGAGCACCGTCAAATTTTATCATTCGGTTTGCATAGATTTTTCTCGATACACATCGAGAAGTATATTGAAAAACCTCTTCATCCCTTCTGATCGATTCTACGACCCTCAAAGAATATAGGGTGTCTTGGACCGACATTTGCGCCCGTAATTTCATTTCGTCACCCCACATGCGTCTTTGATTCAATTACACAGTGAGTCATAGTCATAAAGATAGATAGCAGATAAGTATGTCTATAAATTTTTCGGCGAATATCTAAACCCAATTCTTATGGCAAAATATAAAAAAGTTATGTTTGATACGAGTATTGCACAACAAATAGAATATATTTAAAGTTTGTTATTTAGTGATAATGTATACCAAAATTTACAACTTGTCTTCTTCGTATCATTGAATCTACTGAAATTTCATTGTACTATATTAAAAAATCGACGCTCGGTTCAGATTTTCCTTATAAAATACATGCGGCTGAGACAGAATTGTCCATTACTAATTTAATTAAAGGACACCTTTCGTTAGAAACGCTAGAAACGAGAGGAAGAGCGATTTGTTTTTCTTTTAGCAGCGCACTCACCTGAATTCTGGCCTCGTTCAATTTGGTGGTCCTCGCCAATTCCTCCCTGCAGTATATGTCTGGGTAATGGGATTTTGCAAACGCCGATTCCAATTCTGCCAGCTGCTCCTGCGAAACAATTGGAAAGCCGTGGTAAAGGCCTATTTGAACTACCCAGCAGGAAATTTGGACGTGGTACGAAAGATTGGAGGTAATCAAAATGCTGTTATCAATCAAAGGACTATACGTTTTTCGGAAAAACGCATAGTTTCTAACATAACACATAGGTTTCTAACATAAAAAGGTTCTGAGAAGGACATTTTTGGTTACTCACAGAAGATAATGAAAATGATAGAAATTTTGCAATATTGCTGTACCAACCTGAGTGAAGGTAGTCCTGTGTCGCCGTCGGGCAGGTGTTGGACAGCTAGCTGTGGTAGGTGTGTGACCAATGTGAGGACTGGAAGCGCAAGGGTCAGGTTTTAACTTCTTAAAAGCGCCTTCAGCTCCTAGAAAAGAGGAAAAGCGAGTTTAATATTTTTAATGAAACCATTCGATAAAACTATTATCTATCTACCTCTTCAAAAGGTTATTTAAAAAAAAAAAAAAAGAAACAACAGAAGAGAAATCATTTACTTTACATTAAACTGCGATATTGTCTATGTCGATGACGTCAGATAAATTTCAACTTCATTAACATTGAATTGCACAATTGTATTTTGCACGAGTGTGTAATTATTTCGCGCATTTCACGAATTAAATTATTCACCGATTGCGCTTGAAATTATTTTAATGGCGTATTAGTGGCGGGTCAAATAATATATTGAGTAGCAAAATTGCATGTCGATTAGATACCGTAATAACAACGTGTTAAGTTTTATATAATTTCATTTATATTGTAAAAATAAAATTTCCATAAATCATTCATCTTGCATAACACAGAAATCGTTCCATTCTGAAAGAGCAGCCTAAATTCTTCCTTTTTAATCAATTATCATTACACGTTTATTGAAATAAGAAGAATTCTCGAAGATTCACGAATTTGTAAACAATCTTAATGTAATTCGCGAAAAGTGCACCTCCCGAAAGTACAATGATATTAACACAAGAGAGCAGAACTCTTTTTCCTCGCGGCCGAATTATCTGACATTTTTCCAGATTCGAATGTAATTAAGCAAATTCCGTTAATGACATTCGAGTGTAAACGCTTTTTATGGGAGTCGACTCATATTGTCTGTCCGTAAAGACGATGAAGGAGTCAAGAATAGCGCCGCAACGATATCGAAACAGCCGAGACTCGATTTCCTGTATCGCCTTTCATTGCCAGCAAAATTCGATATTCCATGGAAGGCGCGATCTGCCGAACTTTCGACCTCCGCGCGAGAAGTCCGTGGCCGTCGCCGCCGCCGCCGCCGCCGCCGTCGTCGTCATCGTCTTGGTCGTTCGCGCGGTGCGGAGCGGCGCGGCGCAGCGTGGCGTCGCGGCGCCGGCTTTATGAACGAACATAGATACCTACCAGGTCGCACCAACCCGGGGTAAGCGTGGCGAGCGAAGTCCCTCGCACTATGCTAACTTGGTTAGGGCGTTAATGACCTAATCATGTTACATGCTGATTCAATGTTCAAGGATGAATGCTGTCCACTTTACATACCTTGCCCGGTTACCCGATGAACGGGGAAACTCGGTCAAGTTCAGCGAAGAAGGCGAAGGGCCCCATGCGACCTGCTTCTTGAGCTATCCCCGTGTTTTACGATATTACGCATGCCGTTTTTTTCTTGTTACTTGTACTATTTTTTTGTTGTTGTCAAAGATTGCTTTAAGACGTTTAATTTTTAAGAGCTACTTCAAATATTAATATTTTCAATATAACTTTGAAAACATATCGAAGTTTTTTTATATATTTCGCAATATAATAGATGAGAAACAGAATCTCGAGAACTTTTTTCCAGTTTTATTCGACACAATGCAAGAAAATATAAAAAGATAAAAATTAAGAGTAATAAGAGATGAACTTTACTAAGTATTCGATACATAATACGTAATTAAATTTTGAAAGTTATGATAACGCGAACTGGAATTACTTTGTTCCATTAAAATTATATCCCGTTTTAACGCAATCAAAAGCTCATCCTAATTTTTTCGCGCGGGTACAGATTGAAACGAGATTTTCATAAATGATACGAAATAAAATTAATGTCTCATAAAAGGTATCGGCAAAAAAGTGTTTTTCGCGATCTTTATGATGTCGAAATTAATTTTTTCCATTAATCCACGGTGTTACAATGGGGTATCGACCTTTAGGGCAACCATGTTTCTCTCTCCCTATTCTTTTACATATTTCGTAATATAATATAAAATACTTTCATAAGTAATATATTTAACAAATAATATAAAATATCACTACGAACGTTCTTCAACTATTACCGATACGATCTCATAAATATTGATTTTGTTAATTTAATATAAAGAATCAAATAGTTCATTATTGGACCGTAAATTTAAATTCGCGAAATATATTTACGTATTGCTGTTTCAATACATCCGGATGCGAATCCGTTTTTATGCAATTATGGAGTTTTCGCGATTGCAGAAAATAGGCAATTTTCGATTGTCAGTTTTACGTCTTTGACGTAAAAATCTGCTCAAAAATCATACCCTTGCAAACTATATTTGTTAAAACGAGTATGCTATAAAAACGAAATATAAACGTTTATCAAAAGGACAATAGATATTATTACAATCACGAGATTATTGTTACCGTGAAAAACATAATAGTTATTTCGCGTTATGATATTAATATTGAATAAAGTATAATTATAGAGCTTGATATAAAATAGCATTCTGTATATGTGTTACAAATAATAGTTTTCAAAAGATTATTTTATATGTATTTAATATATACATATACATAAAACATTTTTACTTATGTGCAAGAGTTTAAAAAACGAATCTTTTTATATTTACTTTGAACTTTATGAACATTATTGATATTTAATAAATAATAAGTGTTATTAACTGTTAATAAGTGTAAAAATCTATTTTTAATTTTAAAATATTTGTTAAAAAGGAATTATAGCTTTCTTTAAATAAAAAGAGAAATGAAAATAATGATATATGTACATTATACTTTAAAATATAAAATTCTAATTTGGGTTTTTATAAATCTTAATAAAACTTATAAGTAGTTGAAAAAATAGTCTAACATTTTTAATTGTCAATGATATAATACAGTCTTCTATAGCAAATCACTTTTTTTATTTCTACAACAATTTGCAATTAATTCTCTCTCTTCAATTTAACTTATTCGAAGAATTCATAAATGGGGAATAGCTCAATGTGTTCAGCATGTATCAAAAATTGCAATATGTGATTTCTCATGTAATAAATTCTCAATTGGGAAGGGATGGGCAAAGTAGAGTAGAGACAATAAAATGTCAGCGAAACGGCACGAACCGTCCAGCCGTTCGCAACCGAGTTAACCCTTTGTTAAGGATGAAGTTACAAGCTGTTCGTCGATACTCTCGACGAACAGTACTCGAGAAAGGCCCGTCGAAAAAGAAGCGTGGTGCGAGGGTGCATTGTGGATGGCGCGGCGCGGCGCCGCGCGGCGAACATCTGCCCCCGCAGATTTCGGAGACGGTCAGGCAAACCGAGGGTAATTAGCGGTGATTTTAACGCGGTGAGATCTGACACGCGCGACGAACGACACGTTTTACAGGATTACTGGTAATGCGGACCGTGGTAGCCTCCGACCTACAGCTGCCATCCGTCACACACATACATGTTGCTATATATTTCCTTTTGCGATAAATTGCGGATTTAATTAAATTAATTTAGATCTTTATCAGTATCATTGAGTATCAGTATCAAATTCTCATGTTGTGCAAATCCACTTGGGAATATCTTAGTTTCTTCATATGTTACTCGCAAATGTGTATACATTAAAAGTTTAACATTTACAATTTGGCGAACAAGATGCACGAGATAACAGTTACTACTAACTTGCATACTATTCACTCATAAAAGACATATAAATTCAAATTATTCGCGACACAATATTTTAATCCGATATATATCATAACTATAAAATATTTAAATTTGGCGATTAATGGTTTTTATTGAAATATTTAAAGTAATGCTTTTAAAATATTCTTAAATCTTGTACGTCATTGCATGTGTGAGAGAGAGATTAAAATATTTTAAATATATGTATATATAAAACACAATACTATTGTTGCACAAAGTGTCTTGAAATTAACTCATGCAAAAAATGGAGATACTAAAGTTATTTCGAGTTATAAACGACAGGAATTTTTTTCGTGAAAAGTTCTTTAAGCTTGGAAAAAGAGGACAAATAAATAATAAAAAGCTTCAGTCTTTTTATTTAATTTCAAGTACTTTACGGTTTAAATTTCAAATTTAGTTATTGAGATATTAAAAGTTAAAAAATAGTTATAAATGATAATAGTTGTTAACGTTTCGCTAAGAATTTTGATCAGATTTAAAAATAAAAATTTTCTTGCGGCATATTATAGGCAGTTAAAAATTATAGATTACTAGGTATGTTGTTAACATAAAGAAAGCAATCTAAAACGCAAAACGAATCAGTTTTTTTCTAAGTTGAAGTTGCAGTTGCAGGCCAACGATGTTACGGGTCAGTCGACAAGAAGTGAACGCGTTCCTGTTTTAAGGAGGACACGGGAAACGCGCGCCAGAAGACCGTCGCTCGAGTACTTTTAATACCCAGGAGAACGCGCGAGGGGGTTAACGACATTAATTTTTCCCTCCACCGCCGCCCCGTCCTCGTTTTATTCCGCTACCTCTTTTTCCTCTCGTCGCGAAGCGGCTGTCGGATTTTCATTTGCATGAGAATCCCGCGGTAGTCTCATTTCGTTTCCGGGAACCCTGACCTTGAAGGGTGCGACGGAGCATAGGATATCGCCGTTTGCGGATCGGGGTACCATCGCGTGAAAATTCATTTTCGGATATAATAAGGCAGAAAAAACCCTAACAATCATCGTTACGACCGACCTGTTGAACTCCGTATTTATCGAACACCATATCCTTTACAAAATAAAGCTATGGCGTTAAGAATTTATTTATTATACGTGCATACAAAGTGCATATATTAATTTTATCGTGAATAATTATGATTTAAATAGCAACTTTAAGAGTCAATGAAAATATAAGAGAAAGAAAAAGACAGTGAGAGTCTCATAGAAAACATGTAATCGTTAAAAAAATTTAATATATTTGTGGTTCGCTTGTTCACTAATTAACAAGAGATACCTAATAATAAAATGATTATTAAAATGATCTAATTAATTAAAATCGAGAATGACTTATGATCACAATATGAGTGATAAATGAACTATGATCGGTAATTATTCTTATATTCAAAATCGGCCTTATATAGTCTTGAAATATCATAAGCCAATCACAAAGACATAGTAATATTTTAAGACTTTACTTAAGACGATCTTAATATAAAAACGATTTATAAATAACATATCTCTACAGACCAGTTTTCCTATCCTCAGATAAACTATGTGATAATTTATCCATTGAATACACAAAAGAGTAAAAGAATAAAAGCACATAAGAGTAAGAGAATAAAACAATGAACTAAAGTTTATCGAAAGGTGAAAGAATCCAGCCTAATACATTTGTTTTGAGATGATGCGATAATTCCACTTCATACTTAACAAGTGCAGGTTGACGTTTTGAACATATCGACATGCGCATATTATGAAATATGAGTGTTACAACTCGTTCATCGGCAGAAGCGAGAGGAAATTGGAGATGAGCGCTTTTATTCGATCCCGATTCAACGAATCTTTCGAATCGTCGAACGGGATGCGAGACTCGTCACGCGTTCAAGCTACAAATCCACCCCATTAACGACACCCTCGGTGCTAAGCTCCCTTAAGCCCCACTAGCACATAATAATAGTTCATAGAACAGGTACCACCATATGTCTGGCCCACCCGACCTATTGTCAACACTTCGGGCTGGTCGTGTTGCACTATGAACGCGTGCTCGAGGTTCAACAAGCGTAAAATACGTCTATCTCGAGATGACACGATGCCCATTTCTTTCCTAATGATAATGTAAAAGCGCGATACCTCAAAAGTTACAGAAACATTTCGAATTACATGATTCTAGATTAATTTTATCGCGCTTTTTTAGAAGATTGTCATTTGTACATCAAAACAATTTACTTCTTTCTGTTATAATGCATTATTACGTGGATGAGAGTCAACAAGTAATATTAATTTTTACCACTTTGATTGTTGAAGGTAAAATTAAGGTTATTTATGTCCTATCATATGATTCCATCAAAAGAATCTTACATTGCTTGAGTATTGTTTCAATACAATTTTATTTATATAATACGACTTATATATATAATCTAAAAACAAAAGAGAGAAACAATAAGTTATTCTAATAACTGATGACATAAAATTGATGTAAAATCCGACAAATCAAATCGGCGTATAGTCTTATAAAACTGATAATTGAATTTGTATATTCACATATGAATTTAAGCACCACAATTTGCTTTGACCGAAAATTATATTCTTCTTTTTTATTTATGTTTAAATATTTCTCGATCTATATTTCACTGAATATTGCTTATAAGTTGTACGAAAGGAATTAACTAAAGTTTCTAACGCATAGTTTTGGAGTTAGCGCAATAGAAGAAATATTACACTTAGAATCCACATTTTTTGTATCAATCTCACGTGTGTTGAAATAAAACTACAATGAGATAAAACTTACTGATCACTGGCCTACTACTTAAACAATAAACTCAAGATGCTTCTACCTTCTCGGCAAAATGATCTGCGATAATACTCACCGACGGTGGTGGTAGCCCCGACGCTGCTTCTACCGGGCGTCGCGGCGGGCGTCGGCGGGCTCGCCTCGAGACCCTGATGCACCCCATAGAGACCGAAGTCCTGCTCATTCGAACTGGCGCTACTGCACTTCCTCTTCTCCTGATTGTGATTCAGATGAAAGCTATCGTTCTCGACCAGACCGACACCGAGCAGACCCAGATTCGGCCTGAGTTCATCCATCAACTTGTTCTGACCGCAATTGGCAGCCGCCGCCGCGGAGAAGTTGAGTTGACGGCTGAAAATCGCCGGGAATATGTTGAACTGCTGGTGGTCGAGGCTAAGGGCGGTCGTCGGCAGGGACGAACCGCTGCCGCCACCACCGCCGCCGCCGCCGCCGCCGCCGACGGAGGTACCACCGACGGAACCGACGCCGCCCGCACCGGGACCCCCGGTACCTCCGGATAAGTCGTTAGCCAGGATGATGCCGGGGTGACCTGGTCGAGGTAGCACGTAGCTGGAAACACCTGAGCGAGCACTCGACCACCTACGAAGACATCGTCCGACGCGAGTCTACGATGAGGGCGCGCCGCGTCCGCGCTGCGGATACGCACTGTTAATCTCCTCCGAGTACCGGCGCCACGAAAAAAATGCGTCGGAAGTATCGAGAAAACCTTGACTGTTATCCTAAAGATTCGTTATTTTCTGGAATGACGGTGACTTTAACGAAGGACTAAACCGTGAGTCGCGAAAAATAGTTCTTTCCGTTCGCACCTTTCAAATTCTTTAAAACAGTTTTTTAAAACAGTTCACTTTTCGGTTAATTAAAACGATTTGTTAGAAGAAAAAATAAATCTCGTTTGTGTGTTGTTATATGCTTGTGAACAATCCAGTTTGATGATTGTAGGTATCTCCTTTTCTTCTTTCTTTATCATTCTTTCACTGTGTCATACATTTGCATTATCACTAGAAAGTCCTAGTAAACTTCTCTGGAATGTTGTAGCGTGTGATAAGAAATATCACTTCTTTGGAATTCAGAGCATTACGAAAATATTGTTTCCTCTGATTTAGTATTATTTAGTGTTTCATTTCCAGTCAAATTCCAGTAGTCTTCGATTATCAGAAATAATATTCTATCTTAGAGATTTGATAATTAATATTAAGTAAATTTCGACACACACGTACAATTAATCTTCGTAAAAATTTACAGGCAGCAACGGATTATTCACACAACAATTATTCTTATATCTGCTAGTAACAACTTAATTCAGATCCAACTGATGATCCATTTCGCATCTAACAGAATGGGCATCTACGTCGAAGACTTTTTACTAACGAGGAGTATTTAGTCCATAATATACTTCAACTATATGCTGTTTAAACAACTGTAGTTCTGATGCACTTTCGACGAACGTATAGACACGCGTTTCTCGAGTCTTCACTTAGATATGCGAATCTTCTCTTCGTAATGTCCTTTAAAAGATGTCTGCGTCGTTTTCTTCAAGAACTGTTCAGTCAAGAAATCCAATTTGAAGACACTCGTGTAAAATCGTAAACATACGGATCTTCTTCCTTCAATTTAATCTTCGTTTACCGCCAGTTAGTTGAAAATCCTTTCGTTATTGCTTCTCGGATGTGACACGTGAATAATTAAAACAAATCCACGACAATACCAACTTCAGGATTAGTATATCGCAGAGAATACGCGAGTCGCTGCAATAAGTGATCGACGCAAATCTGGAATTCGGTCGCGATTCAAATCTGATTATCTCGTCGATCCAATTAGAAGGGTGCGCGAGGACCCCCGTGAGAGGGGGCAGGATTCGTTTTGTCGACGCGCGTCCGCGATCAGCTGGCCTTGAAAATTCGAATATCGAAGTAATTGGCGAGAAATGGCTCGGTATGAGGAAATGGCGCGCACCGCGAGACGACGACAACGGCGACGAGGACGAGGACGATGACGACGCCGACGGCAACGACGAGGTCGACGAAGACGACGTGCACGACGCGCCCTTCCGTCCTTCCTTCCTTCCTTCTTTCCTTCCTTCCTGCGAAGGACAACGCGGTGGGAAAACCCGGAGACGACAAGAGCGGAGAGCGAATCAGAGGGGGCGACCGCTCGCCGTGAGTTCTTGTGGGATTCTGTCCGCGAAATGCAGTTATCCCGGTGACTCCGCGCGGGGGTGAGTGAGCAGAGTACGCGTACAAGGGGGTTGCTTGCCTGCCTCTCGGCCGTCGTCGTCGCTCGTGGTAGGGGTTTGTTGCTCGTAACCGGTCGCTACCACCCGCACCCCCGGCCTTCGATCTCAACCCCCGCACGCCGCCGCCGTCACCGCCGCTACCCCTCGTGACGCGCGGGTGCGAAGAGCTTGGCGGACGCGTTGGATTGGCTCAACGGAGGGTACGTCGCCTGGGCGACGGCCAATCGCGGGGGTCGTCGGGATGCCCGCGGCGACCCCACCGCCGTCGCCAACATGGCGCGCGTACCAATAAAAATTCCTCCAGAAAATAGCCTGCGAGCGATTTTCTTTCCGGGGCTACCAGCGTGTAGCGCTTTTCCGACCACGCACACGCTTCATCCCAGTCACCAATACGCGCGCTGGGAGGGATATGGCGTAGGAGATCCTGCTCTCCATTCCCTGTCCTCGTCATCGTCGTCCTTCCCACTCTCGATTCTCTCCATCCGTCTCTCTCATCTCATCTCTACCTTTGCCCCTATCTCTCTCTTTCTCTCATCTCTTCTCTCTCTCTCTCTCTCTCTCTCTCTCTCTCTCTCTCTCTCTCTCTCTCGTTCCATCGAGCGCTGTTCCGCTCTCTTCCTCTCTTTCTGCCTTTTTCTCTCTTTACGGTATCCCGCCTTTTCCCCCGCGCGCGCGCGCGCGCGCTCGCGTGCATGTGCTCTCGTCTTCGTTTTTATTATCTCGCGGCAGATAGCTTTTTTAATTCTTTTCCCCCCTTTTTCGGGGATTTGATTGTAATGTACACCCACGCCTGTGACCCACCTGCGTGCCGCACATATATAGCTACGCCGCGCGCGGCAGTGGCGCATCGTTTGCGCCGTGAGATGCATTCGGCCCGGCGCTAAATGTCTTTGTGTATCTCGCGCCCGGCTTTTCGGAGGATTTGTAATTTGGCGACTCGGACTCCGCTCTCTATCTTCCGCCTGCCGACCCTTTCACACCGTGCTGCACGTTCCGTCTTTTTTTTGTATCTTTTTTTTTTACGTCGAGCCGCGGTAGATTGCGTTTCTTGATTTCCTCCCTTTTTCGAGATTTCGTCGAGATCGCTCAAACTCGCGTAGTTTTGGCTTTGTAATCCCCCACAGGGGGTTGCCAATTTCATTTTTTAAATCCTTCTGAATTCTCTATCGACAAATTTTTATTTATCGAGGAAGTAAGATTATTTGTTATTTTTCTGTCATTCCCGTGTTTCTTTGGGTGACTTAGACTCGCAATGAGACAGTTTTGTATTTTTATGTTACTTATTATATGTTACTAAAATTGAAAATTATACATTATGATACTTTTAACACGATAATTTATAAAATTTATATGGGACATCAATACAATCCTATTATACCGTTATTATTCTCATAAGCTCAAAGTTTAATTTAATTGCACCTGACTTTCTAGATTAACAGGAAACTGGCCGTTAATAAGAGAATATCCGTAAAACTCTTAGGGGCGCCAATTATGCTGAGCAGCATGGATCATCTATTCTGCTTGCGCGTTCACTACGTTCTCATTCTCGTTCCGGCGTCCCTTCGCGATTTGCATCGTCATAGCTGTCGGCATTTCCATTTTCATTTCTGGCTTTCTTTGCGCCGGAGCTACCTCCACTTTGTCTCACGGTGGATATCATTTTTAAGTCCCCCACCGTCTCTTGCGCGCGCCTTTGTGCGTTTCTGCTTTCCTCCACTCTCATCTGTTTTATTTTTTCTTTCTTTTTTTTTTTCTCTTGCTCACTTTTTTTCTCTCCCTTTTCTCTTGCCTTTCTTTACAGCGCGCATTTTCTTTTCTCGCAAGCACGATGGAATATGCGCGCTCGCGTCAAACGCAGAACCGTCTCCTTGCTCTTCGATTTTCCGCGAGTCCTTCGTCCTTGCGCCCTCCTCGAAGCGTCCCTCGACGCGACGAGACGGGGACCAAGAGAGAACGAGAGGATTTTCTCGACCGCGCCAAGGGAGATCGATGAGCTCCGCATCGCGAGATCGAACGGAACGATGAAAAGGGAGCACGAGGAAGAAATGTAAAGTTTCGAGAGCTCATTCGGAGCGTTGGCGTCTCAGAAGTTGCGAGGCGCGCTTTCAAAGGCCCGGCTGCCGTTTTCATTGAACTGGCAAAAGTCAATTTGCTAGCTCCCCGGAAACTGGGCCACCGACATTGCGCGGCGTGGTCAAAACAAGATAAACAACCACTCCGCGATTTGGAAAAAAAAACGTGGAAAAAGAACGAACTGGAGCAAAATCTCCAAAAATCTGCACTTAAAAGTGATGTTTAGAGTTTATGTTTTAATGCCTTATATTCTGCAGCTACGTCTAATTATAATAAAATGGTGAGATAAAACTTATAAGCGTAAAAAATTTAACACAAATATGAAACTATCAAAATGGCAATATTAAGTAAAATTAAAATTGCGATGAGTTCAATTTGCATCGCGAATAAACTCAGAGAATATTCTTTTCTATCGATCTTTTGTCCCAGAATCTCAGCTTATCGAGATTATATTAGTTTCAATATTTATTTGAAAATATGAAAGTGTGTGTGTGCGCGGATTTTATATGTATTTCTCCTCTAATTTATTCGAATACATATTCTAAAAATTTTATTTAATTTTTAATTTTGAAACAAATAGATAGAACGAATACATAAATAATAATGTAATTTTAAATAATTATTTAACAATAATGTTAAAAGATGGCAACAAAGTTCAATAATTAATTTTAAAGTTTTGAGAGCTTATTTTAGTAGATATTGCGATTTCCAATCTTTTTATTTATACCATGACTTTCACAATCACGTGTGTAACGTGTGGTACTCTAATATATATTTTTTCTAACTAATGGTATATTATATTTAGGTTCGGGCTCTTTTATTAAAGTAGTCAATAAAAACGCGACGGAAACATGCGGTGCCGGAAAAGTCAGTGCGTACAGATCAAAGCCGGTAAATTTTCGACGTGTGGATCCAAGGGTAGCTAAGCAAGGGGGTACCATATCGGCAGGGCGTGGTCGAAAATCTGTC